GAGTTCTTGTTCATACTGTTTTCTCCAACTCCACCACACAACAAGGGCTTTTCTTCTTTTCTCCCCCATATCCCGAATCAATTCATTGTTTTTATTGTATCTATAAAATAGCACAAACAAGTCTGAAGAACCATGCAGCATCTTGCAGCTTAGATCCTATTCAGCCTGCTGAACTGTTCCTTTTTCAGGAACATGGATACCATGCAAAATTCTGATAACCTTGTTACCACCTATTGTGGCTCACTTAGGGCCCTCAACTCTGTCTCTCCATGGGACCTTCCAGATTCCCTTGGCTCCTTTAAATCAATCTCTATTTTATTCTGTTATATTGCATTTAAATTTCTACTTCTGTTGGCCCCACCCCCACCCCTGTGTTTCCTGGGGGCAGAGATGGTGTGTTTTACTTACTCAGCTCTGCAACTCCCCCAGCACCTAATCCAGTTCCTGGCTTATGGGAGGAGCTGAGTGTAGAGTTCACATTTGATGTTCTTAAGATGGCTATTGATACTTAATACTAGTTCATCGTAACTTTGGCTTAAACTTCAAATTCTCTTGTGAACAGCCACTTCAAGTGGAATTTCAAATTGTTATATTCTACATTAGTATTAGATTGTTTTAATATTGTTTTAACAGGAGGTTCTTAAGATGATCTTTAATGCTCTTACACAAATAAATCTTAACGTGAGTAGCTGAAAAGATTATCCCAAACCATTCAGGTTCTTGGCTTTGAAAGGCTTTCCAGGACTGTTTTCTATAGAGAAGTCTGAAACATAATTGCATCTCAGCCATAAGTAAGTGGAAGCATAAGGGCACTGGGATAAAAATACATATAGTTGTTTTACATGTGTGTGTACATAGATACATAGACATGTTGCACATACTCAGAATGATGTTCTGTCATGGACCAGAAAAGGGAGGGGCATTTTGTGGATTTTGTTTTGCCACCCTGGGCATATTTTAGGAACTGTTTTTACTTCATACCAAATGTGTGAACCATACCTTTTGTAGGAAGGTGTATCTCCTATACCCCAAAAATATAAACCAAGAGGTCAGCTCCAGGGAGAAATAAGGAATGCCTAAGTTATTGTGCCTTTGTGTGTGTTTTCTCTATACTTTTCAGTATTTTCCAACTTTCCTACAATGAGCATATATACACAGACGCATTTGTTTGCAGGCTGCCCAACTGGCGTGGGACCACCAATTTTTACTCCATAAGTTCATTCTTAGAACATTTAATAAATAGTAGCTCTTAAACTCTTGCAAGGGAGATCAACAGCATGCTGAGGAAATAAACTCTGGTGTTTACTTTGATAGATTCACTTAGTAATTCTAGGAAATAACTCAGATGTGACATTTTTCGGCTTCATCAGCCCTGGGCCAGGCAAGGTTTAGCTCTGTGATGAAGGGCACCTGCCTCATCCAAGGTAGAGGCTTGGCAAGCGTGAGAGGTTGGTGCAGGTTCAAGTTTGTCCTTTCTCTCTCCCACTTCAAGTCTATCTTCCCTTCCAGACTGCCTGCCCTGCTGATTTTAGGCCTGGGGCCCAGATGCAGAAGCAAAAGCCTTACACAGACTCTTCCACAGGCTCCCACAATTGTGTCAGGTAACACCTCTCTCACAGCTCCTTTATTCTCTATCAGCGGTTCTCAAACCTGTGGGTCGAGACCCTTTTGTGGGTCAAACGACCCTGTCACAGGGGTCGCCTAAGACCATCCTGCATATCAGATATTTACATTACGATTCATAACAGTAGCAACATTACAGTTATTAAGTAGCAACGAAAATAATTTTATGGTTGGGTCACAACATGAGGAACTGTATTTAAAGGGCCAGAAGGTTGAGAACCACTATTCTATATCATTGCTAGTGTTCTGTTTCTCTGATCAAGTCCTGATGCTGAAATGCTGATAAGTCCCTGCTGTTTTTCATTATAAGCTACGTAGAATTATTTGGCCTTAAAAAAAAACCTATGTATATGTATTACTTTGATATATAACTATGAATATGTATTACTTTGATATGTTTTTTACAATGAAAAGTAATGAAGGAAACCATTTAGACTAGAGAAAGATGAACAGATTATTGGATGATAAAATTAATTTCTATCTGTCACAAAATGTGTATACAAAATTAAAAACCAAACAACTTTTTCTTTTTTCTGTTAAAGAAATGGAATCATTAACTCATATTTCTTATTCAACACAACAGACTGGCATGTAATTACTCAACTACAAGCCAAAAAACTACAATCATAGCCTCAACTTCTTGTAACATCACTATTTCCAATTACTTTAACTTTTATGTTAGAAGCTGGGTAGAAGGGAGGAGGTTTATAACAAAAACATCTATATGCCTTGCCCTGGCCGGGTGGCTCAGTTAGTTGGACTGTGGACCTTACACTGAAAGGTTGTGGGTTTGCTTCCTGGTCAGGGCACATACCTAGGCTGTGGGTTCAAAACCCGGTCGGGGCCAACACAAAAGGCAACCAACTGATGTTTCTCACATCAATGTTTCTCTTTCCCTTCCTCTCTCTCAAATAAATTAAAACACATCCTCAGGCAAGGATTTAAAAAATATATAACAAAAAACCCCACCCCACCTATATACCTAAAATACTTCTCCCCATGGATCTGGAAAGTGTGTGTAAAAAAGAAACAGTAACTTCAGAATGAAGGATGAAGGTGCTGCTGTAAAAATATAATTTTTTAAAAAACACAAATCTTTCAGCCTAGAAATCCTCTCCACAAAGGTAACAGCAGAAGAAAACACTGTTTTATCCACTGAGCATTAAATTGGAGTGATGCTTCCCGCAGGCACTTGGCCGAGGTTGATTGCAAAGACAGAGCTCTCAACCCTTTCTAGAGCCAAACAGATGCAACCCATTGCATATAAGTCCTCAAGATAAACAATAACTAGTTATTAACTGAGAGAACTCGACAGCACCAATAGTTACACACAGTTCTTCCTAACACAACCTGGTAACTGGGGTGAGCACCTACATGAACTAATCATCCAGAGGGTGGGGGGACAAACTCTCTCTATGACAGGAAGTACTGTTACAACCTGGAGCTAGCCTCCTGTGTCCCACAGACACGGGGAGCGGTGCCACCTCCCGATGTTCGTATTGCAAAGAGATGGCTCCCAGGTCGTGGAGAAGGACATTCCTGTTTTTACATAAAGCTGACAGGGCTTATTTAGTTTCTAAAAAGATACATTTCAACGAGACTGAGAAAATACTTGTATTTATAAGTTTTCTAAGGTAGATATTCTGGCAAGAAGGGCGGGGGAGTAAATCTCTTCCCTTATTTTTTTTTCACATGCATGGTTAATGTTTCATTCCTTGAAGAATGGTTCTGAAACATTACACTAAGTCCGACTGAAAGGTAAAGTTTAAAATAGTTTTTATAAAGATATGTTGTAACATATGTAATGACATTGTTCACTCTACAAGATCTCGATCATAAAGCCTATAATACACCTAGTTGGCAGTAGCATCAGGTTTTCCCAGTTGTCAATCATCGTTTTCCTCTTGTCTGCATGGACTTCTTCTCATGAGCTGCTTTCCGCTTTTGTTGCATGACCTCAGAGTCTGTTTTCTCTGAGAGGTAGTCAAGCTATCTCTTTTCTTTTTCCCTTGCTAATTTCCTGGGATTTCTTCATGTTTTTCTGGCGGGCAAGTTCTCGTTGATTTCCATGGACCAAGCCGATCACCACACCGAGCCCGGAAGAGAGCGACTCGGAGAAGCACAGGCTTCCTCGCATGCCTCTCTCCCCTTATTTTTAACAGGAATGAAGCCTCTCATTTGAAGGTCACATTGGCCTTACGGAGCACCCTGTACATTGGGAAGAGGCAGTGGGCAGGTTCTGACACAGGTCCTCGTGGCAGGCCACTGGCATTCTGGTATCTTTGCCAGCGTTTCAAGGTGGAGGCCACGTCAGGGTTTGGGTAGAGACCCGGGGCTGGATTCCATGCTCAGCTCACCCAGAAGCCTTGGGAGGGCACGGCCTGCACAGCCACACCTGGTGACCCTCATCACCGTGGCTGTTAACAGGTCTAAGAGGCCCTGAATTTACTTACAAAGGCCAAAAACTGCTCCTGGGCCAGAGGAAAGCTCATTGTCTGTTCAGTCTCCGCCAGGAGCACTTCTCAGTGCTCTGTGCCTGCAGCATTACAAACATATCTCATTTAATAATCCACCTTCTATCTCAATACGCCATTTTAGGATTTTGCACCTGTGCTGAGATCCTGCTGTCCTCCCCCACCTTTATACCAACGAGTCACAAACACATCAGAATCACCTCTGCGGCTTAAAAAAAGCAAACAGTGCTCGCTTCGGCAGCACATACACTAAAAAAAAAAAAAAAAAAAGGAACGATACAGAGAAGATTAGCATGGTCCCTGCACAAGGATGACACGCAAATTCATGAAGCGTTCTATATAAAAAAGTAATAATAAAAAAGCAAACAAACTGCCACTGCTGCTCCAAGGTTCCCAGCCACCAATTCAATTAGAGCCTCCGAGAGGGAGACTGGGGCCTCACTGGGTTCCAGAGAATCTAGTAAAACCTAAATAGATTTTAAAAACGTTCAAAGTTTCGAGGTGATTCTAAAATGCCCCCAGAAATGAGAAGCACTGCTGAGGCTCGTTCTCTTGTATAGATTCTAAAGTTCAGCTGTTAGAAGCTTGCGTTTCTACAAAGGGAGAAGGAGATCTGCCAGTGTCCTGATTTGGGACAATGTAGGAAGATAATCAAAGGCCTGTTTATACCGTTAACCTCCAAGAAGGTAACTCATCTATCGGGGCCCAGAAAATGGAGGTTCCGTCACGACCTAAATCTGCACCCATCAGGCCGGCCTTACAGGGAGCAGCTGTGCAGCCCCCGGCTCAGCTGCAGGCGGTTGACCTGAGCCCGGACGCAGGCCTCCAGCCAATCCCGCTCCGTTTCCCCGGGTCTCCGCACGCCCCGCACGCCCCTCGCCCCCAGCATCCCGGGAACCGGGCTCCACGGCCTGCGGGCTCTGGCTCCCCCGTTCCTGGCCGCTTTCTCCGGAATAAAGGACATCGCACTTGTTACTAAACTGTTTTAGTTTTGTCCATTGGAAGCTTTGGCGACGGGATGGGCGGGAAGACAGGTGCGGAGGATTCGGGCCGAGACGCAGGGGAGGACCGCTGCCCGCAGCTCGCCTCTCGGTAAGTTTCTCTCGGACTGAGCTCCGCTTGTGCTGGGTCCTGAGCTCTTGGAGTTTGTTGGTCCTAAAACTGTGTTTGTCCTAAGCGGGTGGAAACCTGCGGTGTGAGAGCCCAGAGGTTTCATGGGGAGACCCAGTGGGCCACACATTTGGGGTGTAGCCGCCCTCAGCCACAGGGTCCTGAGGCGAACCAGGAGGATTTCTAGGAGGGAAAACAATGGGTACTCCTCCATCTAAGAAAGCAAGAGAGCAGCCCTCGGGACTCCCTGAAACTCCTGCTAACTCAGCATAAACTGCGGGGGGACCTGGGGAAGTAAATTAAGAAATTCAGACTGTTGATCAGTGACACATCAACACTGAAGTAGGCACGGCCTGGCTGTGGCTCAGTTGGTTAGAGCGTCCTCCAGCCACACCAAGGTTGTGGGTTCTCCCTGGTCAGGGAACATACAAGAATCAGCCAATGAAGGCATATCAGTGGAACAACAAATTGATAGTTCGTTCTCTCTCCAATCAATAAATTTAAAAAAAAAACTTCAAAATAGGCATAAGTCAGACTATTAAAAGCCCGACTTTTATTTCCCAATTACCATTGACATATCCTCCTATATAATAAAAGGCTAATATGCAAATTGTCCCCTTGGGAGTTCGTCACCACTTGCTATGACATGGGGAGGAGGGGCAGAACAGAGGAAGGCTCCAGCAGGCAGCCCGCAGCTGGGGGAAGGAAGGCCCTGATCCCTCCAATAAATCTAGTACCCACCTGGCACCATACATAGTTATTACAATATTATTGACTATATTCCCTATGTTGTGCTTTATAGCCCCATGACTATTTTATAACAGCTGATTTGTACTCCTTAATCCCTCCCCCTTTTTCGCCTAGCCTCCCAAGCTCCTTCCTTTCTATATCTATGAGTTTTTATCAGTTTACTAGAGGCCCAGCATATGAAATTCATGCATGGGTAGGGTCCCTAAGCCTGGCTTGCGATCAGGGCCAATTTTCCCCAGCAGCCGACCCCACCCCCGGTTCCCCATTCCCCATCAGGCAATCAGGGCCTGCGGCCTGGGGGCAGCCCCCTGGTGGTCAGTGCACGTCATAGCGACTGGTCGTTCTGCCATCCAGTCAATTTGCATGTTATGCTTTTATATGTAGATAGATTCTCTGTATCTATTAGTTTGTTAATTTATTTTGTTTTTTAAATTCTACTTATAAGTGAAATCATATGGTATTTGTCTTTCTCTGACTTATTTCACTTAGCATAATAACCTCCGGGTCTATCCATGTTATTGCAAATGGCAATATTTCATTCTTTTTTTTATTGCTGAGTGATATTCCATTGTATATATGCACCATTTCTTCTTTATTCATTTGTCTATCGATGGACACTTAGGTTGCTTCCATATCTTGGCTATTGCAAATAATGCTGGAATGAACATGGAATGAAGATCTTTTTGAATTAGTGTTTTGGATTTCTTCTGATATATTTCCAGAAGTGGAATTGCTGGGTCATAAGGCAGTTCTATTATTTAATTTTTTGAGGAACCTCCATACTGTTTTCCATAGTGGCTGCACCAATCTGCATTCCCACCAATAGTGCATGAATGTTCTTTCTCCACATCCTCACCAACATTTGTTTGTTGATTTATTGATGATAACCATTCTGACAGTTGTCAGGTGAGATCTTATTGTAGTTTTAATTTGCATTTCTCTGGTGATTACTGATGTTGAACATCTTTTCATTTCTGTTGGCCATCTGTATGTCCTCTTTGGAGAAATGTCTGTTCAGGTCCTCTGTCCGTTTTTTAAATCGGATTGTTCGGTTTTTGTTGTGGTTAAGTTGTATGATGAACTCCTTGTATGTTTTGGATATTAGCCCTTATCAGATGTATAATAGTTATTTTCATTTTATTGGTTTCCTTTGCTGTGCAAAACCTCTTTAGTTTGACATAGTTTCATTCGTTAATTTTTTCTTGTTTCCCTTGCCCAAGGAAACATATCCAAAAAATGTTACTGGGAGTGATATAGAAGAGTTTAATGCTAGGAACGTATGGTTTCAGGTCTTATAGTTAAGTCTTAAATCCATTTTTAGTTTATTCTTGTATGTAGTGTAAGAAAGTGACCTAGTTTATTTATTTTTGCTTTTATCTGTCCAGTTTTCCCTGCACGATTTATTGAATAGATTGTCTTCACCCCATTGTATGTACTTGCTTCTTTTGTCATCATAAATTGATTATATAGGTATGGGTTTATTTTTGGATTCTCTATTCTATTCCATTGATCCGTGTGTCTGTTTTTATGACAGTTCCATGCTGTTTTGATTACCATAGCCTTGTAGTATAGTTTGATATCAGGTAGCATGATACCTCCAACTTTGTTCTTCTTTCCTAAGATTGAAAAGCCTGACTTTTAAGTCTTTTAGGTCCACAAAAACGTTGCGTGTGCAATGATTTTAAAATTCTGTAATCCCTTTAAAGTTGGGAAGGGTGAACTAATTCGATAATTGATCCAGATAATCTTGTGGTGGGATAAATTTAATGGTAATTCCACTTATTCGAATTTACTGGAGAACATGAGAGATTCCAAATGCTGCTGAATAAAAGTTGCATCAAAGGAAAAAAAATTCTACCTACTGTAGAATTTTATAATAGTTTTGTAACTCTAAGGCAGGGGTTCTCAACCTTCTGGCCCTTTAAATACAGTTCCTCATGTTGTGACCCAACCATAAAATTATTTTTGTTGCTACTTCATAACTGTAATGTTGCTACTGTTATGAATCATAATGTAAATATCTGATATGCAGGATGGTCTTAGGCGACCCCTGTGAAAGGGTTGCTCGACTGCCAAAGGGGTCACGACCCACAGGTTGAGAACCGCTGCTCTAAGGCATGCTTTCACTTATATGCATTTTACTTTGCTGAGAAAGCTGTAGGTTTAAAGTGTTTTGTGCATGCGTGCGTGTGTGTGTGTGTGTGTGTGTTCAACATGCATACATATATGATCATAAAATAATAAAGCAATTCTATATTCTAGTACTTTATTCCTATTTATGCCAGTGTTTTTCAATTTACAAGTCTCAACCCACGAATGGGCCAAAACTAGCATTACTTTTATGAAATACAACAAAATGAGAAAGAATAGAGTAGAATAAGAGAGAATGGAAAGTATCAGAGAACATCTCATGTGGTAAGAGCTGGTATTGTTTGGTGAAAGTTGTTTCAGCAGTGTGCATGTATAACCTGGATCGCGAGTAAAATGTATTATTCCGGGTTGTGGTTAAAGTGATTTAAAAATCAGTGGTTTAGATCCTGGTATTTTTACTTTGTAAGAAGCTGTAGCACCCCCTTTAACTGGCACTGGTTTCTACGAAGTATCTGAGTAATAGGTCAGAGCAAATATGTAGGCCAAAATGAGTCATTTCAATTTCCTGTCTAAAACTCGGGGCAGAATTTCTCTGTGGACATATGGTTGATGGTATTTGTTATTCTGGGATACTCCTTAGCTTTTAGTTGTTGATTTGTTTTATTCTTGGAAACTTCCTAGGAGGGTGAGTCTTATGCTAGTTTTCCCTAAAATATCAGGTTATCTAGGAAACTAGTAAATTCCATGGATTAATGCCATTGTCCAGTGTTTTACATTTAACATTTTAATTTTCCTCTTTATACCTATGAGCATTGAGTATTTTACTGTAGGAAAAAAGATGCCCATCCCAATTTTAGGAATCCGTGCTTCTGTCTCCTGCAACTATTGTAGAGGCCAATTTCCATTGCTTTTACAATCAAACTGATTCCTGCTCTAATCTAAAAAAAAAGTTAAGGACTAACATACTAGCTAGATTGTTTTGTTTTTCTTTCCCCCTTCCTTATTTACTCAAAGGAGGATTATTCCAATTTCAGTTGAGAAATAAGGACAATTCATTCACACATATTGGTCATTTATTTATTTAGTGACCCCCCAGTACAAGGCACTGCTCTTGATTACAGCAGTGAACAATGTGCATGGGAACCCAGCCCTTTGTGGAATTTTCAGTACACCGTGGAGACAATGGATATGGTTTTAAAAAAAACCTGTAAATTAGTAGTCAGGGCTCACAATACATGTTCTCCCAGTCAGACTCTTAGTAGATGACTATATTTCAGTTTAGGAATTTTTTTTTATCTTTATTGTTCAGATTATTACAGTTGTTCCTCTTTTTTCCCCCCATAGCTCCCCTCCACCCGGTTCCCACCCCACCTTCTTCCCTTAACGCCCTCCCCCCAACTGTCCTCATCCATAGGTGTACGATTTTTGTCCAGTCTCTTCCTGCACCCCCCACACCTCTTTCCCCCCCGAGAATAGTCCACTCCCTTTCTAGCCCCTGATTCTGTTACATTCACCAGTTTATTCCGTTCATCAGATTATTTATTCACTTGATTTTCAGAATCACTTGTTGATAGATGTGTATTTGTTGTTCATAATTTGTATCTTTACCTTTTTCTTCTTCCTCCTCTTCTTAAAGGATACCTTTCAGCATTTCATATAATACTGGTTTGGTGGTGATGAACTCCTTTAGCTTTTTCTTATCAGTGAAGCTCTTTATCTGACCTTCTATTCTGAATGATAGCTTTGCTGGGTAATCTTGGTTGTAGGTTCTTGCTATTCATCACTTTGAATATTTCTTGCCACTCCCTTCTGGCCTGCAAAGTTTCTGTTGAGAGACAATTGAATGGCTACTCCCTTGTAGGTAACTGTTTTTCTCTTGCTGCTTTTAAGATTCTCTCTTTGTCTTTTGCTCTTGGCATTTTAATTATGATGTGTCTTGGTGTGGTCCACTTTGGATTCCTTTTGTTTGGGGTTCTCTGAGCATCCTGGAGTTGTAAGTCTATTTCTTTCACCAGGTAGGGGAAGTTTTCTGTCATTATTTCTTCTAATAGGTTTTCAATATCTTGCTCTCTCTCTTCTTCTGGAACCCCCATAATTCGGATGTTGGTATGCTTGAAGTTGTCCCAGAGGCTCCTTACACT